GCTCCTGTGCCTCAGGAGCGGGCAGGAAGGGAACAGGGGACATGGGCGCAGGGTTGCACACGGGTCTGGCACAGGACAAGGGAGTGGGGCTCCCAGGACCCCCCAAGTGTCCTCTATTGTGGGTTCTCAGAAACCGCCACCTCGCCTGCGCTGTGCCTGAGACCGAGCGCGGTGAGAAGATGCTGGGAGGGGGGATCCTCGCAGCCGCCCGACCCCATAGAGAACATGAGGAACGTGGCTGCCCCTGTGTATGCTCCTCTTCCTCCAAGCTCACCGCTCCGTACTTGGAACGGTTTCCCGACCTCCTTCCTGCCTTCACAGTCGTCTGAGCTCACACGACCGCCCTGGCCAAGTTCTCTGACGGCGTTAACCGCCCCCTCTCCAGCCCGTGCTTGCTCTCTGTGTCCTGTTCCAAACCTCGAACTCCACAGAGGTGCGAGCTTGTCTGTCTTCCTCGGGATCCCTGAGCCCGGGACATTAGAACTTGAAATACACTGGGGACCCCGAGTGAATCATTTTGCATTTATGGCTTGGCAGTTCCGGAAGTATCTGCATCTGAAGGCAGAAGGTGAAGAGGACAGGATCTTACACGTGACCTGGTCCAGCCCCTTCATTTTACAGCAAAAGTAACCAAAGCCCCGTGAGGCTAACCCAAAGCCCTCGATACCAGGTGTTGGCGTGTTTTCTCTTTACACGGACTACCAGTGACGGTCGCCTCATGCGTCCTGTCTGCTTTGGTTCTGACCAGGTGTCGCTCCATTCAGAATGCAACATGGCGCAATGGCAATCTACACGAGATCCGGCAGGACCCCTCAGAACTGGAGGGAGGAATGCCGGGACCACAGCTGGAAGTGGTACCTATGGGGAGAGAAGTCCCTGAGCCAAAGGGAAGAAGCTCCAAGCAAGATGGCGGGGAAATGAGTGCCAATAAGGTCATCAGAGTTGGTGATGCCAGTCCCCAGGCAGGAGTGGACTGAGAGGTTTAAGATACTCCTGGGCATGTGGCAGTTTTAGAAGAGCACAGGAATGGCTGCTATAAACCTGCTGGTCTCTACAATAACTTGTGTTACTTTAACATTATTCTTCTGACGTCACTAGTCTGTTGACACATCATTTTACCTAATTCAGAAATTCCCACGAACAAGCAGCACAGTTAGATTCATCGTGTTTATTCTCAGTAGCCCCGATTCCATTTTCCCTCAAGAAATAAACATGCCAATATGTTGTTTGTTTTTACACATCATTCTCTTACAAGTTTTTGTTTTAGAAATAATGTCTCTTGAATGTGAACTATCTTGTCCCCTACTTGCTATTTAAAACTGACGGAAATAAATATTTAGAGCTATGTCTCTAAGTATTTGCTAAGCCGTGTTATTTTATTTGCTGTTTATTTTAGCTGGATGGTGTTCTCAGGTTTCCAAGAGTCCTTTCAAATTTAATAGCAGCATTGTTTGTGTATATTCTGGGTAGCTTAAAGAAAGAAAAGAATTCCTATGTTGACTGATTTAGTGTCTTAGCTTGGGCTGCTAGAACAAGATTACTACAGACGGGGGTGGGGGGGCTTCAACAATGAATATTTATTGCTCGAGTTTCGGAGGCTGGGAAGTCCACTTTCCAAAGGTCTCACCTCCAAGTCCCATCGTATTAAGGATTTTGGCTTCGACACATGAATTTTGGGAGAATGCAAACGTTCGGTTCACAGAGCACAGTCTAGCCAAAAGATAAATGTAAAGGAATGAATCCTGTTCCTAATCCACCTGTAAGGATACGTGGTTCCATTAAATGTCTAATGTTATTCCTGACAGGAGCAAAGAGGCACTCGCTCCCGGCCCAGTTTCTGCACCCTCCATAGAGCGCCTGGCTCTCACGCGTGCTGTGGTGGTTCAGCCCCCAACGCACACCCCTCCCTTTAGCTTGCAGTCCCCAAAAAGCCAAGCGGAGGAAGATAAAGCACCTAGCATGGGAGGGTAGAGAATGTTCAGTCTATTTTATTTGGGGAATATGACACTTAAAATCAGAAAACCATTAAAGACGACCCGTTCAGATGCTTTTCTTTTGTAGACGAGGGAGGATATTGAAACCGGGAGACAGGGACCTGCTCAGGGTCCCCATGAGTCAATCGTTATGTCTCGTTGGCATTAGCTATTATGGTAACAATGAGATGTGTCTCCTCTAATTGTGACACATTTCTTAATCTCTTTCAATTACTCGTTTAGTAACCCCACCTCTTATTTATCAATATTCAAGGAAAATAAATGATTACCCAGATAGTGAGTGTCAAAGCTAACAAAATGAACTCTAGACCTTCAGCCTAGCCCTGCTATAAGTCTTTTATATAACTTGAGGGGGGAAAAAAATCACCCAATGGCACTCTGCCTCAGTTTCCCCATCTGGAAGAGAATTCCTCCTTTCCTCTGCATTTATTTTAAAGAGCTTGCTATTCACCACACATGTAGCCAGTAGAAAACACCGTGTTTTTCAACGAAATGAAAAGGCCTAAGTATAGCATTGGCCTGAGGTTCCAGGCTCACAGATGCTAATTCCAACTAAAACAGAAAACTTAATGGCAAATACTGTTTGCAAAAAGAGAGAGAGAGAGACAAGGAGAGATCTATAGCAAAAGAAGAGGGGAAAGAAAGTGGTATGTGCCTAAAGTAAAACTATAATTTTTAAAAAAAACCTCAACTTTGACACTTTTTGATTTATGTTTTTCTGAACAGGAGTGCCAGCCATGGGTATCTCACTGGAGTGTCTTTCTCTGCTCTTGGACGAGGCGGCAGCAGACGCAGCGGGAACCGGTCTTGCCAAGTAACACCCCCGTCTCGGCAGCGTTGAAAGCTACACCTGCAACAACAGATCGCCGCTCCAAGCACTGCACGGTGGCCTGGGCCTCTCGGCCGGGACTGTCTGCCCAGCTGGGGTTTACATAATGGGACGGCCCCGGGGAAGCTGGCCGGGCTCGGCCGGCCCTGGCTCCTGCTCCCGCTCTGCCTCTGGGCTCTGCACTATGGAAGCATCTGGCAGCGGCATGGCCCGGCGGTCCTGGCACCTCTGGCATGAAGACGGGCGGCTGAGTTTCAGAGGATGGGAGTGAAATAAACAGCAGAGCAGACAGGCCCTGGGCGGGTGGGTTCCCAAAGTGATGAGTCTTGGACGTGGGACAGGACAGCCAAGTCTCCCAGCCCAAACTCGCTGCCAAAGCCGCCGGGGCCGACAGGACCATGCGGATGCCGTTCCGCTGCCGGAATGCTTCCCCCGGGAAGGTGAACGTGGTAAACAATTTTCCTAACTCGGCTCTCTAAGCGCTGAGCACGCCTGCACCGCTCACGCGGGGGCTGCCCTGGCGTCGTGCCCAGGGGACGAAGCCGCTTGCGAGGCCGGCCCCCAAGCCTTTACTTCTGGCCCCCATCAAAACAGCCTCTTTCTCTGAGCACAGTCTTTCGTTCTCCGCTCTTTGGCCCAAGTTTCCCTGCAGCCATCCGCTTCCTGACCAGGCCCTGAGAAGACGGAGCAGAAAGAAAATCGAAAACCTCTAAGGGGGGTGGGGATGGAGGCTCGGGGCATTGGCCTTTGATGATATAACCGGACTTTACAGGGGGTGTTTAGAATGAGAAGGGTGACCTTCGCTGGTTTTAACCTTTTCCTTAGTGGATCACGTTTGTACAAGTTTTGGAATCAAAGTCCCTGTTGCCATGGATTTCCTGGTTTTTGCCCATCTGAGATGAGGGAAGCCTTTTCGACTTTTCTAAGCACGTACGTTCCTCCCGCTGTGGGTACGCTGATGGACGTGCCCTGCGCTGGCTCTGCCGCCGTCCCAGTGCTGTGCACATGTGATTCGTCACCTCCTGGAGGACCACGAGCCACAAAGGTCTAGGAATTTTGACAAAGGCCGAAGAGCTCCAAGTAAAAGATTCGTCACTCCACAGGCAGACTGTCCAGCACCGAGCCGGGCCAGTAAAAGCCATCCACACGGGTGTCCTGTTTATTAAGAGCACTTGGCTTATGGGAATAAACTGGAGAATACCCAAAGTCAAGTGGTTTACAAAGCCCATTAGAGAGAGACCAGTACCTGGAATGTCCATTTTTCTATGTTCAATTAATTTTGCAAATGAAAACTAATTTTAAGGGCAAGATACCACAGCAGAAGAAAACCCTCTCCTAAGAAAAGACTTAATTGCTTACGATGATCGAATTTATGCGCCGTTTGCATGACCGGTGGCCTGGCTTCGACGGGAGCTTCCTCTGCGGCAGAGGTTGGCCGCACGGCTGGGGAGCGCACGGTACTGAAAGGAGGATTCCTAAGCGTTAGCACACGGCAAACAGCACACTGCCCGAGGTTGGCCACTTCCACGGAGAAAACGCGTTTTGTGGCAGCCTTCCTTCACCAGCGGGTGTGGCCTTACAGCGGGCCGTGGGACAGACAAGCCGGTTGGCACAAGAAACAGACTTTCTTGCTTTTAACTATGACCTTTCTCCCCGCAGGGCTACCGTGTTTCTCTGCTGCTGAAGGGAGGGTGCAGGAGGCGGAAGAGCGAGTAGAAGGGCGTGACGTCGGCCCTCGGGTGTCCCGCCCCTCCCTCTGCTCAGGCAGGCGGGGGGCCTACTCTCCACCCAGTGCGGGCCGCGGGGGGCAGCGACCTGCCTAGAGTGGAGGCGCACACGGCACACAGGCCCCAAGAGGAGCTGCACCACCGCGTCCCCCAGACCACCCGCCTGCCACGCACTCTCGTCATTAAGGCTGCCAGCCTCGCAGTCCCTCGGGCATTCCCGGGCCAAGCGTCATGTCTGTGTCGAACGGGTGAGAGGCCAGGTAGTCTCGGTACTCGCCGTCGATCAGCTTGGCAGCGCTGTTCCTGGCAAACCAGCAGTCCACCTGCTCCTCCCCGTTGTAAATCTTCCGCTGTTTCCAGACCACGGGGACCCGGTGCCCTTTCACCTTGAGGACGGCCTCCGAGGGCTCCGCCGCCTGCGAGGATGCAGGGCGAGTGAGGTTCCTGCCCGGCTCCGCCGTGAGTTCGGCCTCCTGATTCAGGAACTGACCTGGGGGGACAAAGAAAGCAGCGGGTCTAAGTCAAATGCGGACCACAGCGCGCTGACTCCTCACTTCAGGGATGCCAGAGGCAGGGGGGTTTACTCGTAGCGGCTGCCGCTTCCGGAAGCTGCCCAGTTACTAACGCTGCAAAGTTGCCCTAACGAACTGAGAGAGAAAACCACCGTCTCCGACAGAGCCGGGAGGATTCAGACAGGGGCGGATAAACAGGGAGGTGGGGTCTGCTCTTCCCTCTCTCCTCCCTGTCACAGACCCCTCCACGCTATCTATTGGCTGGGTATGTGCCGGGTGGGGTCCAGTTCATTCCTGACACTTTGTCCTCAGAATTCTCCAGGTCGGGTGAGGACACTGCTTGGGCCCAAGGAACACAGACGTGCGTCTGCGCCAGGGGCTCAGGCGTGGCAGCCAGGCACCACAGAACCTGTCCCGCTCAAGGGCCAGGAAATCCTGCCTCTACACCGAGCCCTGACAACGGCTCGCTCTTTATTTTTAGGCAAGAGGCCCACGTGAAATTGCACGTTGAAGAAAGCCGGCCAGAGTGGCCACACAGGTGACTCCCACGGAGGAGATATTGATATCTCTCTCGTGCTGGGTCTGGGAGACAGCTCTGTGGCCACCCTTCCCTGTGCCTTCTGGCTGAGGCAGAAGGAACTGGACCTTACAATGATTTCTATTTCTTTGTTCATTCTCCCAGAAGACGAGTGACAACTGGTTTATAAAGCCCATTCTTATCCCAGAAAGTCATCGGGAGACAAGAAACCTAACTTGCACATTATACAGTCATGTGACACATAGTGACACCTCGGTCAACGACAGGCTGCATGTACGCTGGTGGTCCCAGGAGGCTGTGAGTCCGTATTATTACTGCCCCTTTTCTAGGTCTAGATGTGTTTAGATGCACAAATACTTAGCACCATGTTACAGTTGCCTGCGGTACTCAGTACGACCACACGCTGTACAGGTGTGCAGCCCGGGAGAGCAGGCGGTGCCGTACAGCCAGGTGTGCAGCAGACCACACTATCTAGGTCTGTGTAAGCACACTCTGTGATGCTCACACAACGGAATCACCTAACAATGCCTTTCTCAGAACATATCCCCACGATTAAGCGACACATGGCTGCATATATGTATACACACACACATACACACACACATATACGCATATATTTGTGTGTGTGTGTGTGTATATATATATATAGGAGCCACATTCCCATTGCATTTCTCAATCAAGCTAAAGAGACTGGAAATGTCAGCTTCATTTGGGAAATTTAATTTTATCCTCTAAACCCGTGGTCCCCAACCCCTGGGTCGAGGACCAGTACCAGTCTGTGGCCCGTTAGGGACCGTGCCGCAGAGCTCCTCGCCTACCCGTCTGCCCCATCCGTGGAAACACTGTCTTCCATGAAACTTAGGAACCGGGGGTGGGTGCTCCCCATTGCCCCTGAGCTCCACTGACCCCCACACCCCTCATCCCCCCACCCATGTTCCATGAAACTGGTCCCTGCTGCCCAAGAGGCTGGGGACCGCTGCCCTAAACCCAGTGCAGACGAGCGAGCCGCTGCCCACCTAACAGTCCGTGGCAGTTGCCAGAAAGGCCCTTGCTGCTGGAGATGTAGAAGCCCAGGTGGTTGCGCTGGAAGGGCGCCGGCTTCTTGTAGAGGTGAATGAGGATGACGAAGGCAATGGAGCCCTGGATGGTGACGGTGACGTTGGCGTTGGCGGACACCGACACCTCCAGCCCCCGACTCCCCACCGCCACGCTCCGGTTGCAGGGCAGGACCAGCCTGTCCCCCCCGTCCAGGATGACTCTGTTGGGTGTGATCTCGAGGTACGACCTCTCGGGCTTGTTGACGAGGATGGTGATGGTGCTGAAGTACGTGCGCTGTTTCTTGTGGCCGTTGGGAGGAGCGGGGGCCCCGATTAACTCTCCGTTCACTGTCACGCCTCACAGGCCGAGGGGAAAAGAACAAGGGTTAGAAACACGAAAACTATATCCCCACTTTCCTGCTAAAGGCATCTGATCGGAACGTCCTTCCTCCTCCGGGTTCATCTTTGCGTCTCCAGCACGGGGCACGTTGCCCGCGCACGCAGGGGCCACGCAGAGGCTACCGAATGAACGAGTGGATGACTGAGTGAGTGCAGGAAGTTGTGAGTGGACTCTTCTCCTGAGTCTGGCCGGTATCTTGGGATAGGGGTAGGGGGATGTACATCTGGGTCAAGACATCACAGAAGGAAACACAATGCTAAGTATTTGTGTATCCAAATGTAGCTAAACATAAAGTTTGTTTGCCTTCATTTCTGTGTCTGGTTGTAGTGACAAAAAGTCTTGTGTGGCCCTGATGTGTGTTTTGTACCTACCAGTGGCCACTGATCCGAATTAGGGGACCTTGTGATACCGCTGAGCAGTGTGGTAGAATGCAAAGTCAGCATCAGTCGTCCCCAAACTCAGGTTCTTCCACTTAGGTGGTTCGTCCTTAGATAAGTCATTAGAAAACTTTGAGCCTTGATTTCCTCATCTGTACCATGGGGGGACATAAAACCTAACAGTTTTTTTGAGGCCCCCAGGAGGTTGCATATGTGTAAGCTGTAAAGTGCCACCAAACATAACTCCTTTCTTTTTTCCTTCCTCGTTATGAACATGCCTGTGGCTTTTCCGGACTTGAGCAAGGCCCGTGAGCCTCACGGTTCCGTGCTGTCTGGCTGAACAGCAAACAGACGGCAACTGCATGTGAGATGTTCGGGGCCAAATAAGGGTGATGCACATTATGTGTGCTTTGCTCTCAGGCAACGAGGCAATTTGCAATAATAAAAGATTACTATATAATGAACTCCTGTCTTCTCTGCTTTGGGAATGACCTCCCCAATAAACTTGGCTAATAACTTCTCAGACATTCGAGGGGAGCAGTGCTTTCCCTGGGACAGGGGTCGTGGGAGAGGAGAAACCCCAGCGTGAGCAGAGCCCAGGCTCTTCGGGCTGAGCTCCCATCACGGACACCTTGCAGAATACAGAAACCATGGGAACAGTTCCTAGGAGAGGGGCACTTCCAGCAAGGGGTACAGTTAGGCCCCATCTCACTCCTGAGCCCTTTGACACAAGAAATAGTCAGGATTTATTTAGCTCTGAGGCTAGAAAGTCCTGCAAGAGAACAATATGCTAAAGGAGCCCCAGGATCAACTTTATATCGTTATATCATACGTGTTACCCGGCTGGGGACCCTCTGCAATGTAACATTATGAGACACCCATGTTCTCGGCACTGAGATATGCCAGGATGTCCCCTCCGAAGCAGGTCCTCGCAGAGCCAGGCTGTGTGGCTGCCCACATAGCTGTTCATGAGCACTGTCGCCTGCATTGATTCGAAAAGCTTCTTTGTGCTAATCTCTGTTGCCCAATCCCTCTGCAGACAGACAGACACCAGAGCCCCGCTGACGTCCACGCTCACGGCGCACAGAGAGCTGTGTGGCTGACACCTGGGCTTTCCATCTGAGTCATCAAGGGGCTAAGACAGGTGAGTTTAGACTCGCTCCAGCGTCACAGCTGCTGACCAGGTGGATATGATGACAATAATAATCCATCATGGGTTTTCATAGCACCTGAGCATTCACGGAACAACTTCACATCCATTATTTAATTGGATCCACGTTAGAACAGCCCTGCGAGGCCGGCAAAGTTTCACCACCTTCGTTTTGCAAAGGAAACACCTGCAGCTGCCACGGCGCGTGCTCAGGGCCACACAGCACTTCAGTGGCAAAGCAGGGGGATTCGGACGCACGTCTTTCTGACTCCCAGTCGCAGAGCAGAGTCCCCTCCCTTCAACCGACCGTCCTCCCTGAGCATCTGTAACGTGGTCCTGATACGTTACTAACTGGACGTCCATCCCAAGAACAGAGGGGACTGGATACCTGCCTGGTCCTTGCGCAGAGGCCGCGGTGCGGGGCAGAACTTACCGGAGTCCACGTGATCCGAGACCAGTCTCAGGATGTCCCCGGGCTGCCCGTCGATGTTAAAGCAGACGGTGAGTTTGCTCAGGGGGAAGTCCACCACGAAATGGGGGTCTCCATCCACTGCGGGACGCGGGAAAGAAAGAGAGAGAGAGAAAGGCATTTCCTGGGCGCCTTTCGTGCTTTAAATTCTACTTTCCATTTCCCAGGAATGATTTACTCAATCCCGACGTCACTGGAAGGAACGTGTCCTCAGTTTCCACGTGAGGACGACGGATGGGAGAAAAGCGACTCCCCAAAGCGAGCCATTGACGTGGTAAAGTAAATATTTGACTTTGGGCTTCTAAATTCAAATGCAACGCTCCTCTCACCCTACCTCAGCTACATATAGACAACTGAGCTTTGAAAGGCAAGAGGGATGGGAAGAGGAGAGAACTCGCCACACGCCCTCGACTGTCACCGACCACGATCTTCAGTTTCCCACGTGGATTTCCCTGCCATCTGCTTCCCCTCCGACAGCACAGAGAGAGACCTGAACGAGGACCCTTCCCCTTCCTACAGCCACAGTTCTACGGCTCTTCTTCTCCCAGGAAGCCATAGGTTATCTCAGACACATTCAAGGCGCCAGCTGTATGCAACCCTTGCTAGGAGCCACGCCCGATGCAGGGGAGTGGCCCACGAGGCCCAGAGTCAGTGACGCTGCTGGAAACTCCTCCTTCAGCTCATACTGGCTCCTTCGACAGCCGCCCTCTCCTCCCGCCTCTGACGAGATGGGAGATACGGTGTCTCTCGAATGTACACACCAAGCACAGCCTGCTTCATGCACACCTCTCTACTTTAGGTCTACGTGGCTGTGCACGCGTGCGTGTCCCTGTGTGCCGGAGGTGCGGGCCCAGAGGGGGCCGGTCTTTCCAAGCTGCAAGCAGATTAATGTCCTCGCTCTCACTGTCCCCAGCATCACTGGGAAGGGCCCCTGCAACAATCTGGCTGCCCTCCCCGCGAGGGGCCGCGAGAGCCCTGTGAACTGCAACACAGGAAGAAATACGAGGTGTTGGTCTTGTATTAATGGAAAAAAAAAAAAAAGACACCCAGAAGAGATAAAAGTTCTCATCCATATTTTTGGCATTCTTTAGGTCTGAATACAGTCACCTCCCAGTGTCGTGGGGGAGTGGTTCCAGGACCGCTGAAGATATCAGAATCCACGGACGCTCAAGTCCCTACTATAAAATGGCACAGTATAATATGTGCGTGTCACCTTCACGTCGCCTCCTGACTGCTTTAAATCATCTCCCGATTACTTATAATACTCAATACGATGTAAATGCCATGGAAATAGTCATTATACTGTATTGTTTAGGGAACAATGACAAGGAAAAAAGTCTGTATGTGTTCAGTGGAGATGCAGTATTTTTTCGTGAGTATTTTCCATCTGAGGTTGGTTGAATCCACGGATATGAAACCCACGGATACAGAGGGCAGCTATATGACTTATCTGACTGTTTTCTGAGAGTTTCTATGTGCACATACCACACCATTTCCACTCAGATCGTCCCGGTCCCTTTACAAGGAAAGACACTGCTTGCTCCAAAAGAGAGGGAAGGTCCCAAAGTCATTAGCCCAGACAGCAGCCGAGAGGAAGGTTTTCCTGCATTCCACAAAGCCTGTGTGTGTTCAAAGGAATTACACTCTGTCTACCGGAGACTGTGTGGCTTCCACCCCCACAGCTAAGCTCTAGGATGTTCCCGGGTTTACGAACCTGTGCATACCACATGTCAGAAGAGAGGCAATCACAAAGGCTTACAAAGGATGATACGCACACTATAGGAACAAACCCAGCTCTCATATTGTTCTTCCCCTGGGTTTTTATCTTAATCCCAGCAGGTTGGCCAAAGGAAATTTTATGACCTTTTTTTCCTATCTGTTCTTCCCTTCTAAAGCTGAGGATTAAAAAGCAAAAACAAAAACCCTACCTGTCACACCAGACACTTTCCCTTTTGTAGCATCATTTTTTTTTATCTATAACACCAGAGGCTGGAAGCATGCATACTTCAGATCGCCGAAACAAATGTCTTTTAAACTCAGTAACGATCAAAACGTGCCTCTGCTGTCTGTCTATCCTCTCCCGGGGCTCCTGCCAGGCCTCCTCCGACTGTGTTATCTCCACGGTGTTTATGTGACAGCTCAGTGACGGTCCTGCCTCTTGGCATCTGCCGCTCGCCGCTGGCTCGATGCCGGGTTCTACGAGCTGGTATTTTAACTGGCTTCAGGGGTGTCTGGCTGCCCACTCTCTGAGCATCCCTGATGCTCTCAACCCACACACAACCGCACCCTTCTCTTTACCTGATGTTTTGGAGATTTTAATTCTTGGCTCGGATGGTTTCTCCAGCGCAGGTCCTAAAACAAAGGAAGAGGATGTCACTGTTATTCCTTAAAAAGGATGACGGGAGAAGCACATGAGAGCGGCTGGAGACGAGTGAATGCAGCTCTCGGATGCGTCCGCAGCAACTTAAAGAATCAAAACAACATCTTCAAAAGCTCGTCTGTCTTAAAAGAGGGAACTTGGCCTCAAAATGCACAAGGTGGGGGGGAGGGGGGTAAATGTGCAGGATTAATTATTCTTTTATAAATTAGATAATATTCTTCTTTTCTTTGATTTCTGTGTATAATAGTGAGAAATACTTTATCACACTTAAGATGCGGTTATGCGGGAGGGAGGGAAGTTTTGTGGGAAGTTTTGTTTAATGGGTGTAGAGTTTCAGATTTGCAAGATGAAAAATCTCTAGAGATCTATCTCGAAACAATGAGAATATACTTAACACTACTTAACAGCATTGATCTGTGCACTCAAAAATGGTTAAGATGGTAAATTTTAAGTTATGTGGTTTTTTCCACAATAGAAACAAAGGACAATAAAAAAATGTAAAATAAAAAAAAGTTATAACCCAGTGTCTGTAGCTATGTGCCAAGCATAATCCACAAAGCATCCGGCTTTGAAACACTTTGCATTTCAAAGTACTTTGTACTTTGAATGAGTATTCAATTAAAGAATAACCTAAAAGTAATTTGTTCCTGTAAATACAATCAATATCTTACATCACATTGTACAAGCAAATCTGTGTTCCTCTTCGCTGGGTTTTGCCCCTCACAGAAATTAAAGCTCAAAGTACCTAACTGGTTTTAAGCAGCCCCTTCTCAGTGCGGGTCCCTGGCCAGCCTGCAGCGGGGCCAGGAAGGAGGAGGGAATGCTTTGATGGGATCATTGCTTTAGAGAGTGGCAGCTGCCACAGACGCTGAAAAACCAAAAACAAAACGTAAAACACCATCAGAGCTTTACGAAAAGCAAGACTGCCTCCAGTGCTCACGGACACTTTGGGAGAATCTTATTTCCGAAAAACTGCTTTGAGCAATCAGTTGGCTACGTCCTCGTCTGTGTTCCTGACACCCCGAGTCTTGTGTTGTTCGAGTCTCATCTCTCCTGAAGTTACTGAGACATGAGCTGATGACACAGAATAAAGATCTTATTCAAAAAGCCGTTTTTCCTGGATGTGGCGTGGGTCCCGCGAGCAGGAAATAATAGCATCTTGCAGCTTGTTCGCAGTCAGGAAGAAAACTGCTCTAGCTGTGCCTAGACCAGCCCCACTCTTTCTGAAGTAGCCACAGATCACTGGTAACCTCCCCACCCGGGTCTGAACTTGTCATTAAGTTTCCAGTCCTCCATGCCTTGCGGGGGAGGGTGGATCCGACATTTGTAGAAAACTCATTAGGGGCTGAAGACTTCCCATATTCACTCCTTGCAAGAATCCTTCAGGGAAATTATTATTATTAAGAGCTCCACTTTACACGTGAGGGAAGATCAGAGAGGTTCAGAAGCCTGCCCCAGGCTTCACAGCGGGTCAAGGTGGGTAGATCCTAACTTCACGCTCCCTCAGCCATACCGGGTGCTCCTCAGAGTTTAGGGTGTGAGGGTCAATGAGTCCGCACTGGTGGGGTGCCCAGGAGGGCCTGGTTAACCTCGAATCCCTGTCCTAGGGGACGGAAACTTAACAGGAACCTAATACAAAATGTTATACATAAAAAACACAAAGTTTCCACAAAGGGATATTGCCAAGGATACAATCTCCTGCTTTGGTTTAACTGCTCTTCCTTTCTCCTGTTCTTGTCCCTACTGCTCCCCCCACCCGTGTCCCCATCAAAATGTCCCCGAGCCTGACCGTGCCTGTGAATTCCTGTTCAGACTCTGAGCGAGAGGTACGGAAACAGCGAATTCTCCCAAGGGTCCATGTCCTGGTGCTTCCTGTGTGTTCTCGGGAAAATAACATCAAGCACACGCACAAAATAACATACCTCTGGGGTACTTACAGAAATACAGAAAGGTGCTTACAAATGAACACTCGTTTGTTCATCTCGGTAACGCCATTCCTGCCCGGCGCCCGGGAGGCACTCGGTTTATTGATGATTTATCGATGGACTGACCTCACTGGGCACCATTTCTGAGCCAAATGCCACATTTTCTCATTTCTCTAGAGAGCCACAGTTTATAACAGTACAAATACAACAATCTAAGATACTCTCCAAAGACCGTGAGCTGCCTGTAGCGTTGTCTATAAAAATGATATGGCCAGGCGTAGTGGCTCATGCCTGTAATCCCAGCACTTTGGGAGGCTGAGGCAGGAGGATCGCTTGAGGCCAGGAGTTCCAGACCAGCCTGGGCAACATAGCAAGACATTGTCTCGAAAAAAATTTTTTTAAAAAATTAGATGGGCCTGGTGGCGCATGCCTGTAGTCTCAGCTACTCGGGAGACTGAGGCAGGAGGATCCTTTGAGCCCAAGAGTTCAAGGTTACAGTGAGCTCTGATGATACCACTGCACTCTAGCCTGGGCAACAGAGAGAGACCTTGTCTCAAAAAAACACCAATTATAATACGATAAAATAAAACAGACCCCTGCTGAGGTCACCGCGGCCCTTGGAGGGTTAGAATGGGCACCGTGGGCCCAGCGTCCCACACGCATGGCCGTCACTGGAGCTTCTGCCTTACCTGGCGGCGTGCCGGCGCCTCGCAAGCTCTGCAACACCGGTTCGGGTCCCACGGCAGCTGCCACGCCGTGGGCCTCCTCCAGGCTGCCCGAGGGAGGGCCCGGCTTCTTCAGCTTCATGGCGGTGAAGGGCATGAGGAAGCGCCGGCTCACGGCCAGGGCCTGGGCCCTCTGCCGCAGCCGCTCCTTCTCCCGCCCGTCGTTACTCTGCAGCCACGAGCTCAGCAGCTCCTTCACCGTAAGGTAGCTCCAGAGGCGCTCCAGGGGGTTGGGGTCCTCCTCACTGTCACCTCTGGGCCCAGGGCTCCCAGGGGGGTCACCCCCCACCTTCTGGGGCCCCACGGGCACGTCCGTCTTCAGTATGACGAATTTCTTGCTGTTGCTGGCGGTGACCTCCACGTGCAACTGACCCAGCTGCCTGTCCACTAGCTGCCCGGCGACGACGATCTCCGAGCCGTTGAAGTAGTTGGGGAACAGGGTTTTGGTGGCGTGCTCCACCGCGCTGGCCGGGTAATCCACGCGGATGTTGGACAGGAGAGGAGTCCTGATCTCGTCGTAGAACCTGCAGAAGAACAGAGAGGGAGGATCAGGGTACTCCCGCCCGGGCAACACAGTGAGACTGTGTCCCCCCCACCCCCCCAAAAAGATCTTTTAGCTACACTACCTCTCTCACCTACTTCACTGGGCAGACTGAACGTGAACTTACTAGAAAATGACTTGAAATGTCAAGAAGACAATTAGAACCACAGGAGCTCATTGGACACTTAATGTGATGGCCATCGTGCCAACACTTTATGTAGGTTTTTTCATTAAATTCTGTCAACCGACCATAATCCTCATTTTATAGATGAGGAAACTAAGCCACAGTCTTAAAATCTCGCCTAAAGTCACAAAGCAGGACCAGAATTTGAACCCTGCTCTGCCCGGTTTCAAACACATCCTGACGCATGAGTCGTAATCATTTCCGGCAGACGCGAGGTTCGGGGCGGCCAAACATCCTGCTCTCTGGGTCTCCCGCTGAACCCGACCCTCAGCCCCTCGCGGTCCCGAGACACAGACAACAGACCCGATGAGCTGCGAGCCCGCGTCCTCCTCCTCGTGCACGCGCCGCGTGAGGCCGCAGTTCTCCAGCGACAGTTTCTCCAGCAGTCGGAAGTCCACGTCGTTGCCGATGCCGACGGTGAAGATGCAGATCCGACCCCGGGCCGCCTCCCGGGTGTTGTTGAGGATCGTGAGGGTGTGGGTCTCGCCCACGGTGGGCTTCCCGTCTGTCAGGAAGATGATGAGGGACACGCTCCGGTCCTCAGCGTCATCCTGGGCCACGTAGTTGTTGAGCAGCGCGATGGCCCTCTGCAGGGCCCCGTTGATGTCTGTGCCTGCAGGACACCAGCACAGGACAGCTCACGCCTCTGCACGCACCTGCCGACCCCGAACGCACCTTCCTAGCCGCGGCGAACGCTCAACCGTTCGAGCGTTAGTGGGAGTGAGATGTGGGGGGGAGACACCGCCGGCACGGACAGGGTGAGCCCAGGTCATGCCGCCTGTCTAGAAACTTGGCAAGTGTTTGCTGAATAAAAATAAAGGACTCAGGATTATCCCACTGTCAATAAACCTCCTCTGGAAGGTACGTGATGATATGTTAGTTTAGAAATCTTCACTACCTTAGCATTGATGGTTTCTATCCCCTTTCCTGAGAGGTTTGCGGGCAGGTGGCAGCAGGAATTGGAGGGGAGAGAGTCACAGAAGGGAGAAAGGGGCACAGAACGAGGAGGAGGAGAGTAGCTGGAGACACGCAGGGGCCTTCAGCTGTTACCTGGGCCTGGATGGCTCTGAGCAAAGAACCAATCTGTGGGGTCGCTGTCCCTCCTTCCCTCGCTTCCTGCCCTTTGGGGATTACCTCTGCTTGTCAGACCCTGAGACAGAAGGGGGCACTAAATGTGCCGGGACGTGTGTGCAGGGACTGGGAGCTCAACACCCTCCCCATCACGCTTTACATCTGACGACCCCTCCCAGGCCACCGCGATGCACATTCGGCTCACTCTGTGGTGGCCCTGCCGAGAGGGCTCCTCGGTTTGCAGGGTGGTTCTACCCGCCACTGCCCGAGGTGCCCAGGAAACACTGGATCGTCTATCTGACTTCAGTTCTTCACCCCAACACAAGTTACAAAAACAGCTTCGTTTTGTAACAACAAAGCGTTTTGTAACAGGATCCGTGAGATAACCAGAAGGGCCTCCAACTACCGCTCAGGTATCTTTCCCCATAATTGGACCAACTTTGGGAGCTGGCAGTGGAGAATTCACAGAGTTGGTGTCCAGAGAAACCTGAGCTTCTGGGAAAGCTCTCGCCTGCTACCTCCTTCCCCATCATCAGCTTCGGCTTTCACATCCTCGACTCCTGGCAAAAAGAATCAGTTTCTTATCACGTCGAAGCTAACGTGAAAAGAAGGAATCGTTTGTACCTCCAGTGGGGGACAGGTGGTGAATGTAGATTTTGCCATCCCTGACATTGTCTGGGGTGACTGGTATCAAGTGGTCCTTCCACACTTTGATCCGGCTGGAGAATCCAATGATGCTGAAACGGTCCTGGGGTCGGAGGTCATGGAGAATCGTGAAGAGCGCGTCCTTGGTCTAGGCAAACACAAAACCAGAACCGGTCACAGCCAATCATGTTAGTGCACTTGTCCCCAGCCTGGAAACCGCCCACCCGGAACAATCTCAGGGTTCAAGTTCAGCGTCTACGCTGTAACAGGAACTTGACTAAATGTCAAAGAACCTGTCACCTAGCTGGGGAAAAAAACGGTATAAATATGTTAACAGTTGTACACAAGATACGAGTAAGTGTTTAATATAATACATGAAATGTCACATGCTGCCACCAGCAGCGGTGTACTGGGCCTCCATATCTTCACCATCGCTATTCTCTCGGCCTAGAATGTTCTTCCCTAGCGCCTTAGCCCCACCTTTCGCTGGAAAAGGCCCTGGTCGTTCTTCAAGACCCAGATCAGTGTGCTGAATTCTCTATTTGAGACTTACTCTAACTTCCCAACGAGAGCGGATCGTCCCCTCCCTCGGGCCGGCACTGTCCTGTTGTGATAAAGGGCACGTCACACAGGGATGACTGTTCTACGTCTCTTTCCCTGACCAGACTGAGAGCTCGCTGTAGGTCGAGAGCAAGGAAGGCGTTTCGTGACATCGTCTTCTCACTCTGCCAAGGGATGCCCCCTCCGCACGCTGTGGAGAGCCCCTCTACCAAGCCTGGCTGCCACCCTCTGAAAATGTGTCAAAGCGTCCTGTGTAAATAAACAGAATCCACCCCCAAAACGGGCCAGCGCTCTCCAGGAGGCGTTTTAAAGTCCGTGGCTGTCCCCACGTGTCCCACAGGGTGGCTCAGACTCACCACGTCGAGAGCGGAACCTTCATCCTCTGACTCGAGCCTCTCTCCCCCTCTGCTGTTCTCGACCCCGGAGGACGCCCCTAGCTGGGGCTCCAGGGCAGACGCCCGGCCGCCACGGCGAGTCCTCTCTCCTCCCCAACCCTCTCACCCTTCAGCACCAGCCCTGGAATCCCAGCTCCTCTTCCTGAGTGTCCCTCCGACCACACTCGGAGGGGACTTTTCCTTCTTTTGTGTTTTTTCCTAATACAATAATAATATCATTCCTGTTTTAAAAGGTCAGAAGAAAAGCATATAAAACCCACAAGGTCCCACCCACCTAGAGACAACCACTATTAAAAGGCGGGTGTACCACGTGCCGCTTCAGGAACCTTCCTGTGTGTCTGTGTGTCTGAGTTTAAAGAAGTGGGAGCAGATACTATGTAGACCACGCTGCAAAGTTCTCATTTGCATCACGCGCAGTTTTCATGTCAGCAGCCAAACGTTCACCACATCCTAACAGCGGCGCGAGGCACCGTGCTTTAGTGTCCTGAGTATTTGTGCAGCACCCTATGAAGCTCGTTATTCAGCCATCCTCTGCCCTGGGCTCTTGCCTTAGGATAAATTCCCCAAAATGGAACTGGAGCAACAAAGGGCTTGCACTTGGGGAAGACTTGGCACGTCCCCACGTTGCTGCCGGAGTTGGATTTTCAACCTTCCACTCTTAAAAACCTTCGCCGGCTCCTCACTGCCCTCAGCGTAAAGTTCAAATGCTTTTTGGATACAAGATCCTCCATAAAAATAAGTGATCCCAGTGGAACTTTCTGGCTTTATTTCCTGCTGTTCCCACCCCCGCCGCAGACTCTAAAGTCGAATTCCCCGAGCACCCGACCTCCCTAAACACAGCCTGCTTTTGCAGGACTTCCTGCCGCTGCACGAGCTGCCACCCCAACCCCTCTTCCCCACCCCCCACCGAACCGCGGTCCCCTCAGGATCCCTGACATGTCCCTCCTGGGTGAGGCCATTCCCAACTCAGCCCTGAAGGCAGGCGGTGGCTCTGTCCCGACGCTCCACCCCCCAGGGCACATCCACGCTGTGCTGTCGTCACCTCTTCACGTTCCTTCCCAACTCCGGGACTTCGCATCTGCTGTTCCCTTTCCTGGGATGCCCTTCCTCGCCATCCACACGGCTGCTGTCCCTTCTGTTCCTGCGGTTCTAGGCTTACACATTCTGTCCCAAGAGAGCCCTGCCTGCCCCCCCTGCCCACCCCGTCCTTCCCTTCACTGCACGGACAGAGGGAATGTCACTCTCCTCTGTGCATGGACTGACCTGTCCTCCACTCCACGCTCTTCAGGGCAGGAACGTTCTCTATTTTATTATTCTACATTTAATGTCCTATATTCTATATTATTATTCTACATTCTATAGTTAATACCCAGCGGTGCCTGGCACGTAAGAGATGCTTGATAAATGTTTCCTGAGTACGTGAGTGGTGAGTAAACCGTCTCTGCCACGCTAGCGAGGGAGCTCCTCGGAACAGCTGTTCCCCTGGCCTTCCCCACCCGCCCAACGTGATGTTTTGCACAGTGTAGGCTTTTAGTAAATGTGTGTTGCATTGGAAAATAAGTGAGAGAGACACGGGGGGGGGGCGGGGGAAGAGAGGGAAACGGGAGAGACAGAGACGAGGGAGAGAGAGACACAAATAGAGACAGAGATGGGGTGTGGCTCTGTTGTTGCAAAGGACGTGAGAGAGACATAGCCCATCCCGGGTGACCTGGACAGGTGCTACTAAGACGCATGACGTGCAGGAAGCTCCGAGCTCCTGATGGACGAGTCCCGGCAGTGACCAATAACTCCGAAAATCACGCCAGCAGCCAGGCTGCAGGGTGGGGCGTGGGGAAGGGGACCCGTGTCAGAAAGCCAGGCCTGTTAGCTGCCAGCATCCTCAGGGATCCTTAAATAGTGCGCTGAGGACCTCGGTGGGGGGACGGCTGGCTCCGTGCTGGTATTTTTCCCCGTGGTGACGGATATTCTGCTTCCTGAAGAGTTGTTCAGTCCCCCTCCCCCCCCCCAGCTCAGCAGCCAGAGGCTCCCTATGACCTTGTAAGGCCGCAGCTGCGACTTGTCCTTGCGTGCACCAGGGAAGGCGGGCGGGCGCCTCTGGCCACTCCGTCCCCACTCGCCGGGACAGCCCTGGATGGTCTCCCGCCCTGGTCCCACGAGAAGCCGCTGCTGCTGCTGCTTCCTACAGCTCCCAGCTGCCATTAACCCTTGACGGGCCCTCCCCCGCCCGTCCCTGGGGAGCTCTGCACGCACGGGAGGCTGGAGGGGAAGGTGAGCGTCCACACAGGAGCGCGCCGGCCAGGGGCTGCAGCCCGGCCTCCTGCATACCATGCTCAGATGCTGAAGATGAACAGAAACTCAGGCTGAGTCAGGAGCACAGGGTGAGCATGTGCCAGGCAGATCAGAGGCAGAGGACGTGGAATCAAGCCTGGCCGGAGGCCTGAACTGCCCTGAAGGCAAGAGGCACCCCCCGAGGGGCTGGACTAGGTCCCCACCAGGGTCCCTCCCGAGTCCGAGATCCTGGGACGTGACTAGAAAAAGCTGCAGACTCCCCCAGTGCAGGCGACGGACCAGGCTGGTGGCCATCTGCCCACCCACGCCCTTCCCTCCTGGACACCCAGATTGCCCTGTTCCCTGCTCTTCCCCTCCCCTCAACGCTTCCTCCAGCAGCCCTCCACGCTGCAAAGAGGCCACCTGCTCGAGACGAGTACCCCCAAAACACGCAACGTGGAGCTATCATGCCCCCCAAATCGATCTGCTAATAGGTGACCACAGGAGCCTACGGAAACGTCTCCGTTGGAGATCTTTATGGTAAAATGAACATGTGAAATCTGCGAGCACACGTACTACACAGTTTCCATCCATGCGAGACATCAGAAGAGACCTTTAGAAAATTCCAGATTGTGTTTGGACTGAGGGGAGATTTTTCTTAAAAGGGACACAGAAACCATACATGGAAAAGATATATTTCTGACTATTCGGGTAGCGAAGAAGTATCTGGGCCTGGCTGCAGGCGTTAGACAAGATTCCTTCCAATCCTAATTATTTAGAATCACAAAGAATAGGGATTACTCTCCGCTTAAAACCATTTTACGGTGATGAATTCCTCTTCTTATATGTACTTTCCTTGCTTGGGTTGACAGAAGAAAAAAGTATTTCTTTTAAAAACACGGTCTTAGACGTTCATTCCAGCCCTGCCTTGGGTTTACTACTGAGTAAGTCGTTTAATCTCTATTTAAATTCTTCCAGGCACAGGCGGGACATAAATAAATAAAAGTAAACTCAGATTCTCTCCATCCATCCGATGTGGCTGGCGATAGTCCCTCTTGTTCCAGCAGATCGTCAGGGAGGAAAATGAGATGGTCTCTTCTAACGGCGTGTGTAGAAGGTCGAGCTGGGCCCCCGGACACACAGCCTCCTTTCGTGTCACACGTCCGAGGAAGGGAGTGTCTGGGGGCAGCTCTGTCCTGTGCACTGTGGGCCCTGCATGAGGTTGCACGAGGAACAAGGGTGGGGCCCTCCCTTCCCTTCCCTTCCTCTCTCTCCCTCTTCCCTAGAAAACTGAGCCCAGACAACCTCAGGCTCCCGGCCCCGCGCTCAAAGGAGCCCGTGTCCCACTCTGCTGCCATGGCGTCAATGACCAGTGGACACTTCCCAAGTGGACGAGCGTTATCTAATAAGACATCAGGGGAGAAGCCAACGGAGCCCATGCAAGAGCCAGCTGTGAACTGACGCTGACACAAAAGGCTTTTGTATCAGAAACCCTCGGCTGTCGGGCATAAGACGAGGGGAGCCAGTGACATCATAGGTGAATCCAAGTTCAAGGGAATTCGGTATTGGCCATTCCATGCTTTGAGCACAACGGTCGGGCTGTTCTCCTGAGTGGTCCGTGCCCTGCCTCCTCTAAAATGCTTTCCAAGCAGTTGACATTTTCTCCATGCTGAGTTGGTCCAACAGTCCTTTTGAATGAGCCCAAGAGGAAGATCTAAGACCAACAGCTTACCAAGAAACCGAGAAATCAAAGACCTTCCAAAGGCTGAAGTGGGGCATGGAAGAGAATGGTGATCAGGAAATATATCCCCCGAGAACAGCCCTGAGGTAATACTGGAAAACGGAAGGTGCCCAAGACGATGACTGCGGCTGCAGGTCAGCCTCGCCTTTCGGAAGGTGGGCAGACAGCGGACACAGAGGCGAG